TAGATGACAAATATTTAACATCATTACACATGAAACCTTACTAGTTTATTAATATAAGTGTTTTGTGACCCGGACCGGCCCGGCGGGTCGACCCGGGACCCGGTCGACCCGGAGCTGGAACCGGTCCGAGTGGGTTAATTAGACCGGGCAACAACGGACCCGGTCAAACCCGGTCAAAACCCGGTCGACCCGACCTTGACCCGGTCGACCCGGGACAATGACCCGGCTGGGTCAACCCGGTTGACCCGGTCTATATGTATTTTTTTATTTTTTTTTTGTTTTTAAATTTTCTTTTTCTTTTTAAAAAATAAAATAATGTATATATATTTATATAATAAATATATACATATTATTACCACTTTAATCTACAAATTTTACATACAAAATATTTAAATTTGTTATTTTTATGTATATTTATATATCAAAAAATACTCTATATATAATTTTATAAATTTTAAAATTAATTATCCGGTTCAGCAATTGACCCGGTGACCCGGCGGTTGAACCGGTGACCCGGTGACCTGAAGACCTGCCCGGGTCGATTACCGGGCCGGGTTTAAAAACTATGATTAATATACTAGTAAATATAAGAATAAACAAACCAAAAAATATATAAGAGTGCAAATACTATAAAAAAAAAAAATAATAAACAAAACTCGCGGGCAGGCCAATTTGGCCCGCGGGCTAATGCGGGCGGGCCATGGGCTATGTATTTTCCAGCCCGTAGAAATGTGGGCCATTTTGGCCCGCCCCGTTTGGACCGCGGGCCAGCGCGGGCCGGAGCGGGCCAGGCCGGACCGGCCCGTTTGACAGTGCTACTTAAACACAAGGGGGTCTGGTGCAGTTTTTAAAACACAGTGGGAAAACGCGCACATTTCGTTAAACACAAGGAGATTTGGTGCAATTAACCCTACTTTTATATACTAGTAGAACACCTATTTATAATTTATAGTACTAAATCTATATATATATATATAATTGTAGCATATAACATTAAATTAAACCTATTAAATTATACCTAGCTGACATTAAATTAAACCTATTAAATTATACCTAGCTGGCATTTCCCGCCTAAAAACGTTACTTTTCATTTCATTAAGTTTTTTATGTTTTTTTATCACACAAACAACTGGATTAATGTTGACTATTAATATTGGCAATAAATCTCATTTGACTGACTTCTTCCATCTGCCGTTACAAGTTGTTGATTGATTTTCTCAACAAGTTATTTAGTTGCCACAATAAACAATAATCTTCTTTTACTCTAAAAACTGTTTTTAATCAATTTATTTAACACATCATAAATTAATAAATATTAATGAAGAACAACAAGTGAATAAATGACAGAAAATACAACATATTATTGATCGATTTTTATATATCGATCGATTTTGTCATCTGCAGTCGTGACATGGAATTCTGTTTCCAGTCCATTATTAAGGAAAAAATGGTTAGCTACCAAAGAAAAAAAAAAAAGAGAAAGATAAAATATAAAAGATAATATATGTGCTTGATTTTAACCTTTGAAAAAATGGTTCTAACCTTTGAAAGTCGGATGGGATCTTCAATAAAATTTCAGGAAAATAGAATTTGAGGTATAAAAATGTGATTAAAAATTGAAAATCTAAATACAAAACAAACATCTTAAAAAATTTTATTCACAAATTGAAATATTAACTTATGAAAAAACAAAGAAAACAACATAAATTTTTCTATATCGATACCAATGTTCTATACTTAAGAATTCGGTAAGCTTAACCGGGTCGAAAAAAAATGTAGCTCGGTATGAATCTCGAATTTCAAAAGCTCTTGAGATAAAACAGCTGAAATTCCAAATATCTTTCGAATTCACGTCGTCGTATGCAATTAAAAAGTAAGGTAATAGTCGGCGAAAATTAGCAAAAGCAAGCGGAGTAAATTTTGAGATCTGTGAAAGAGAAATATCGGGGCAGAGAAGAAGACCAAAGCGGCGTGAATGAGGCGTCTACGTTTAGGGTTTTTTTTTTCTTATATATGATCTTATATTATTGGAACTAGGCTCTTATCCAAGACCTCATTTTTTTTTTATATTAAAAAAGTAAAGGTAAAAAAATAATTATTTTGACTGGGCTCTATTTTCATATATATGGACTGCCAAGCCGTAATATATGTATATAAGTTTAGGCCCAATAAAATATAAGAATTATTTGAATTAGAATTTCATTATATTAATATATCATTGTGAGTTTCCTACGTAAATATTTTTTTTGGTAAAATCAATGTACCATAACCTTCTACCTGTATTTAGCATTTAATGTATTGGCTCTATTTTTATTTAATGCCCTTCAATTATACTGGGCAATGTCAATTAAACAAACTAAAAACTTATACTAGCTGTTTTGGTCAAATATTTTTTTTTTTTTTT